AGTGATTCTGTGTTTTATAGAGTCACTTCAGTTGAAATATAAATTTCTTTTTCCGATACTATTACCCGTCCTGAATAAATATATATATATATATATATATATATATATAAACAGTTTATTTTATATATATATATATATATATATATATATATATATATATATATATATATATATATATATATATATATATATTCCTTTATTATAATTTTATCATATAGACAAAACCATTTTACTCACTACAAAGATGCAACTTGTTTTCAGTGTATTTCAACTGCACTTCGACAAGTGAAAATCGAAAATGGTTATGAACAATCCTGCTTGTAGGCAAGCCGTGTGTGAAAGGTCACTTCCTTTTTTTCTATTTATTTGATAAAAAAATATAGGTGACAGCGTGAAACAATAGTGTTTGTTGATGAATGGATTTGGTGTTTAGTATTAACTGGTCTGTGGAAATTTTCCTGCTGATAAACACTGGTCAAAAGTCCAGGCATATCATCTTACAAGCGTCCTAAGGGTGAGAGGTAGGGGAGGAAAGATGGCGATAAGGAATAGTATTACGTTTAAGTAGGTAAAAATTGTAGTGATACTTCTAGTAGTAATTGGGAATGTTATTTTTGGTTTTCTATAAAAATTCTGGAGCTGAATTGCATGTATTTATGTTGGGAACGTTGGAATTTATATATTACTTTGTTCTCATCGCATCAGGGATATATATATATATATATATATATATATATATATATATATATATATATATATATATATATATATATATAAACTCAATGAGTCTGGAAGAATCCTCAATAGATTGAACTGGACGGCCGTTTCGATCTATTTCAATTTCATATTCATTATATACATATATTCTATTTACGCGTTATTTTTATAATTACAAATATTTAAGTAAATGCTCTGTTTATATTCAATTTATCGGATATTCAGGCCGGTAAATGTAGTTAATACTGTTTATTATAAAAATAACGTATAAACAGAAAATATATTAAAATAATTTTCGAACTTAATCCTTTTCATAATATATATATATATATATATATATATATATATATGTGTGTGTGTGTGTGTGTGTGTGTGTGTGTGTGTGTGTGTGTGTGTGTGTGTGTGTGTGTGTGTGTGAAAATATATAGAAAATATGAAAGAACTGGTTGGGTAAATAATCCAAAGTTCCTTAGTATTTTAGTTATAATTTTTAAAAAATAGTGCTCGATACAAAAGTAGAGCATAAATATAATTATTTATTTAAAAATATGATTCCAACTCGCGACATAAGAGGTCTCATGTTTCAAAACAAGAGCCGAAAACTTCAATATAATTATTTGAATTAAATTGTGTTAAAGTAAGCTTGTTACATCTTCAAGCGAATTTTTTTTTTTGAATAACGTATTTCTGAAATTTACGTGTTTTAATAATTGAAATCAAAATTTCCATCAAATTTAGACACCCCCACCTTACCCTGAGTTGGCATCTATAAAAGTAACTCTATACTGATACTTATTATTAACACCCAACACACGCCAACCCAACTTAAACAATTCGCCCTAGCTGTTACCATGGAAATTTTGATTTCAATTATTAAAACACGTAAATTTCAGAAATACGTTATTCAAAAAAAAAATTTCGCTTGAAGATGGAACAGAGCTTACTTTAACTCAATTTAATTCAAATAATTATATTGAAGTTTTCGGCTCTTGTTTTGAAACATGAGACCTCTTTTTTTGGCGATTTGAAATAATATTTTAAATAAATAATTATATATATATATATATATATATATATATATATATATATATATATACGCAGAGGGATAGAGAGAGAGAGAGAATTGGATGTAGAAAATTTGAATATAAAAATCTAAACTGCATGATAACCTTATATTTAGGTTTTAATCCGATCATCAAAACAAGTGTGAAATTTAGGCTCACCATGTAGTTTTGATTCCTGTACTGTACCTACACTCTCTATACTTATAATCGCTTTATCTCCAATACTGAGGACTCTTCTGGTATAAATGTGCAAAAATTTATACTATATCTTACTTATTATAAAACGCAGGTTGTGTGTGTGTGTATGTGTGTCTGTCTGTCTGTAACGTTGGATCGAATTTCCTACATTTTTTAGCCGATTTCAACAAAACTTCACAGGACTACATAAAATTACCTTGTGGTGGTTCTAACGGCACCGAAAATGGGAAAACACAATTGTTTTTTTAACAATATCAATTTGAAAACACGATTAAGACACATCGTGAGAATGAAAGGGGGAGAACTCACCCACGAAAATGTAAACAAAAGAGCATAGCATGATGAAAAAGACGCCGAACTTGACGAAAACAAAATTTTATCGTCTAATGTTCATATTATTATTAAAGAGGAAAGATCAAAAGTATTTTGGGGTATTTTTTTACATTTTTAATCGTTCCTAGCACGTCTGAAATTTTCGTTAAAAATATTGTTTTTTTTGGTCAAAAAAAGGGCAGATAATCATTTTCAATCATTTTTTCGATTTGATAAAAAAAAGATTAAAATCTTACTTTGATATTCTTTTAAAAGTCAATTATCATTTTTTCAAAACTGATTTTAATAAAAACAGATATTATACTGTTTATTTAAAATATTTTGAACCAAGCTTAACTTAGCTTTTGCGCCGAAAAAATGTAATTTGAAAATAAAACAAAGCAGGTCATAACCTTTCGCGTCGCTTGACGTTTAGATAACTTACGGGAGAAGAATTCTTTCTACGGATGGAAGGAAGTGAAATTATTTAAGTGAACAAATTATTTACCTTGTTACTTTTAAGGAAAACTTTCAGCGCTCTAATTTTTTTTTTTTTTTTTTTTTGTACTTAGCTTTCATTTTTACGTTTACGATGCTTTATGGAAAACATAAAGAAATTAAAAAATAAGACTGTTAATAGTGAGATTAAATTTCATAAGAAAAAGGTATCTAATTAATTTAGGTACCTTTATTATGAAATTTTATCAGAAAATATTACATAAAATACTATAATTTTTGTACATTTATTACATTTTACTGTGTTATTTGTATTTCCATTCATTTTATTATTAATTTTGATATTTCATTTATGGAAACATGTCATAACTGAGATTAATATAAAAATAAGATCATATAAATTAAAGTTTAGCAGTAGTTAAATTTCATAAGATGATACTGTTACTTGTAGGTACTCTTCTCAATTGAAATTGAAAACTCAAATTAACTTCTCCATACGTATTTCGCAAAAGTAAAGGGCTTAACAGCGGAGAACAATGCTGAACTCAAATAATGCAACTAAATTGTATTCTGGTTGGTCTTCCGTACTTCATAATTACTGTCCGACTATAAACACAAAAATTACATTTCTTAATTACCATGGCTAATCTGATTGGTCCAAATTATACAATTTTCAAAGCGCTAGACAATGACAATCTCACAGGGACATTTTGAAAGGTTGATGTTGCTTTTAACTAATGTTAAAATATTTTTAAAATTCAATTTAAACATTTTTTTTAAAAATCTTTTAAAATTAAAGAAATAAGAAATAATTGTATTAAAAATTCAACTTTCATTGAAAAAATTTTTTGCTTTCAAAAAATATTGTCCATATTCATAAAAACAAATTAAAACAAATAAAAGCATTTGAAACTAAATAATATATTTGTTTTATTGAGTTTTGTATGTTACAATTCACAGCTGATTTTCAGGTACGTTGGCCAAAAAAAAAAAAAAAATAAATAAATAAAACATGATTTGCATTCTTCAAAGCCTTGTGCTTTTTAACTATTGTAATCACTAAAACCGATGGTCTCGAATTTCTAGAGTTTTCATAAAATTAGTTATGGGGTGTTAATAAATATTAAAAAAATATTTCTGCCATGACTTTAAAAAAAAAATATATTTATAATAATTTCGATCATCTGTGAATAGTTTCTGAAAGTTTCATTAACATCTGACAATTATTTTTATTTTTGCAAGATTTTCCAAATTAATGTGTAAATACAAAAAATGCGCTAAAAATTATCTATGTTATTTACTACCCTTGTTGCGACAAAGAGAAACAAGGTTTTTAAATCAAAATTTAGAATATTCTAAAAGATGGAAAAATTTTAAAAAATAATTAAAAAAAAAATTAGTCTGTCCTCTTCATAAAAAAAAATAAGCATTTTGACAATAAAATTTTGTTTTCATAAACTTTGGCGTCTTTTTCATCAGACTATGCTCTATGTTTTAGCGATTGCGTGGAGTGACTTAGGTTAAAAGACCCAGGTTGTTTATGTATGTATGTATGTATGTGTGTGTGTGTGTGTGTGTGTGTGTGTGTGTGTGTGTGTGTGTGTGTGTGTTCCTTTATATATGGGATCGGATTTCTTACATTTTCAGCCGATAAAACAAACATCCACTTTTTTTCGGCAGGTAGTATTTCTCATTGTCTTTCACACTTTTTTCTTTATTTACATTCAGAATGCTTTAAAAATTCCATTTACAAGACAATTGTTTATAATAAAAATTCTATTCACCAATCGATAGACTCATAACGATTGTAAACAATGTTTTGTTTGAATTTGGGTTTGACCAATTCGTAAAAAAAAAAAAAAAAAAAAAAACTAATTAAGACATGCATGTCCGTCAACCTTAAACAATAATCTTTGTCAATTTAATTTTTCAGTCTTTATGATGGTCGATACTTGATCTATCTCTTACTGTTAAATCCCCGGGCAACGCCGGGCTCTACTGCTAGTATATATATATATATATATATATATATATGAGAGAGAGATATAGATTGAGATATAGATATGAACACATAAATAGACAGATATGTACAAAGAGATAGATAGATAGATAGATAGATAGATAGATAGATAGATAGAATAGGGGATAGATGAATAGATAGATATGAACCGAAAGATCGGGAGATAGATATGAACAGATATATAGACAGATATGTACAAAGATGTAGCTAGCTAGCTAGATAAATATGAAGACTTAGATAGATAGATAGATAGATAGATAGATAGATAGATAGATAGATAGATAGATAGATATGTATGAAGACATAGATAGATAGATAGATAGATAGATAGATAGATAGATAGATAGATAGATAGATAGATAGATATGTATGTATGAAGACTTAGATAGATAGATATGTATGTATGAAGACTTAGATAGATAGATAGATAGATATGTATGAAGACATAGATAGATAGATAGATAGATAGATAGATAGATAGATAGATAGATAGATAGATAGATAGATAGATATGAACCGAAAGATCGGGAGATAGATATGAACAGATATATAGACAGATATGTACAAAGATGTAGCTAGCTAGCTAGCTAGATAAATAGATATGAAGACTTAGATAGATAGATAGATAGATAGATAGAGATAGATAGATAGATAGATAGATATGTATGAAAACATAGATAGATAGATAGATATGTATGTATGAAGACATAGATAGATAGATAGATAGATAGATATGTATGAAGACATAGATAGATAGATAGATAGATAGATAGATAGATAGATAGATGTGTATGAAGACATAGATAGATAGATAGATAGATAGATGAAGATAGATAGATAGATAGATATGTGTGATAGATAGATAGATAGATAGATAGATAGATAGATAGATAGATATGTATGTATGAAGACATAGATAGATAGATAGATAGATAGATAGATAGATAGATAGATATGTATGTATGAAGACATAGATAGATAGATAGATAGATAGATAGATAGATAGATATGTATGTATGAAGACATAGATAGATAGATATGTATGAAGACATAGATAGATAGATAGATAGATAGATATGTATGAAGGCATAGATATATAGATAGATAGATAGATAGATAGATAGATAGATATGAAGACATAGATAGATAGATAGATAGATAGATAGATAGATAGATAGATAGATAGATATGAAGACAAAGATAGATAGATATGAACAGGCTGAGATACACAGAGAGAGACAGAGAGGATTAATGTAGCCAATGAAAGGATTCGATGGGCTACGAACAGTTTCACGCCAAATAAATTTGGCGATCGTTAGGTTATTGAATATAGAAGCCATGTTTCTTGGCGTTGTTAATTTACGCTTCGCCAGCTATCATATTCCAACCGTCTGTCGTGGAGGGATGCGTAGATAGCAAAAATAGAAATAAAAAAATGGAATTTATTATCGTCCTAATACTTCGCTACTGCTTCTGGTCCTTTGTTTGGCAATTTATTCTGCTTCGCGAATACAATTACATTCAGTTTTCCTTAAAAGGCACAATGTAACTCTCTCCGATTTCCCATAAATAGCAGATGCTCTTCTTGTCAGTCCCTGCCTCAACTGACGTCGCCATGAAACGTTTCGTAATTCAACGAATGCATTCATCTGCCATTTTACCTTGTATATTATTGCTTTTGTCTTATCTATCTTTGTATTTAGCGCCATTCCTGTGGTGAGAGCTAAGAATGTTTATATTTCTTAATACTCGTTCAAACATTTTATTATATTCTTTTCATTTATTTTAATTATTTCACCCAAAGTAAGGATATTACAAAACCATTGAAAGGGCAAGAGTTTGGATTGGCTTGGTTTGTTTTTCTTTTACGGCATATCAACCTCAATGGGTTATTTAATGCCGACAAGATTTTAACGATAGGTTCGTATGAATAGAATATATATATATATATATATATATATATATATATATATATATTTCCTTTTCAAAAATATGTTTACTCTGAAAGTATAAAAATTTGTACAGATTGCTTTCAAAAAATATGTATCTGTAGCTATAAACCTGCGTACAAATTATTTAGATTTTGGCATTAAATAATCCATAAACAAAATCAACCAACCAACATCATATATATATATATATATATAAATATATATATATATATATAATTGACTCTCCCGTCGGTTTCGACGTATGAGGATCTGACAGCTTAGTTGATTCATTTATGAAATTTTGTGCGATATTCTTTAGTGGCATTTAAGACCCGCTAGTGATTTACAAAGGAGGTCACATATGGAGCAAATGTGAGGATTGTGAGATGTGATCACTGTTAGACTGGCTCACTGTGAGATTAGATCACTGTTATATATATATATATATATATATATATATATATATATATATATATATATATATATATATACTATATTCTCCTGTAGAATTCGATGTATGAAGGAAAAGCAGATCAGTTCCTAGGAAACTGACATCCTGGACACCAGCACATGAGATTTGATTATAGTGGCGAATGTCACGTGCAGGACCATCCACACTTTTTGAAGGGCCAAATACAGAGACTTGGTGTTGGTGCACTAAGTGCCACAAGGTCCCCAAACGACCCTCTGCAGGTTTTGAATTCAAAGTTTTCCTTCTCCTAGACCAGTTGCCATCCAAGGCTATAGAAACCAGTCTGTCCTGCTATTTACCCATAGCTGGAGGGAGAAGAAGAGGATTCACACCATTCCCATGGGTTTTAGCACGTAAGTGAATGTAATGGATTCGACTGGAATTCGATCTCGGCTCTCTGATTCCTCAATCCAAGTCGCTATCCATTACAAATGTAACTGCCCATTTTCAAATACTTATAATTTATTTATTAACTATAAGTTTTACAAGAAATCGATATGAAAGGAAAGCATTTAGTATAAGGTTTTATTTAAAATTCGATATGGATGCCAGATTTCGCTCCCAGCATCACAAGCCGCCAAGGAATCGCGTCAACTGATTTAATCAGGAATTCTTGTGGTATGGATGACATAACTTCATTTATTCACCCTTCAAGTTCTTCCAAAATATTGGTTTGATACAGTTGACGTGCTCCTTTAAGCAACTCCAAAGAAAAAAGTCAAGTTAAGTTTTAACTCCCGACTGGCAACACATACATAAAATAGGGAATTACTTTTCAACCACACACACCCACCCACCCACTATATATATATATATATATATATATATATATGTGAAAATATATAGACAATTTACCATAAGTGTTACCATGGGGATTTTGATTTCAATTTTAAAACAAGTAAATTTCAGATATACGTTATTCCAACAAAAATTTCGCTTGAAGATGGAACGGAGCCCATTTTACTTTCAACTCAATTTAATTTAAAGGATTATATTGAAGTTTTCGGCTCTTGTTTTGAAACATGAGACCTCTTATGTAGCGATTTGTAATCGTATTTTTTTAAATTAATATATATATATATATATATATATATATATATATATATATATATAAGCAAATATATGGATATAGATAGTATGAAGAAAAATACAGAAAAAACAAACAAAAATCTCAATATGCAATTATGCTGTATTAATGTCGATATAAAGTCGACGTCGGACGTTTCGGTCTATTTTAGACCATCTTCATGGACATTTTCATTTAAACATAATTAACATTGGAACATATAAAAATTTAACACAAAAGACGATAGACATAAGAGCACAACTAATCCAAACGGATAACTGAAATTTTTATATAAGATCAGCGTTCCGTTTAAATATGATCACGTAGTCGCCACGTGGGCGATGTTGTTAAAACGTATTCGAAAATGATTTCCAAATATTAAAATATTTAAAAAAAGTCGAATGAACTATTTTATATATAATATAAGAATATAAGAATCTATTGATCAAGTAAGGAAAGGATTTATTATCGAACTGTTTTTTTAGAACTGTTCCATCGTTTTTGAAATAATTTTTGATTTGCTTTGTAACGTGAAGGACTTCAAGCTTGTATGAAGATATAAGAACCTATTGATCTCTACGTATTCCTATATCAACGGAAGGGATTTCTTGAACTGTTTATATAAAATAGTTCAATCGACTTTTTTAATATTTTAATATTTGGAAATCATCTTCGAATACGTTTTCACAACATCGCCCACGTGACGACTACGTGATCACATTTAAACGGAACGCTGATCTTATATAAAAATTTCAGTTATCTGTTTGGATTAGTTGTGCTCTTATGTCCATCGTCTTTTCTGTTAAATTTTTATATGTTCTAATGTTAATTATGTTTAAATGAAAATGTCCTGAAGATGGTCTAAAATAGACCGAAACGTCCGACGTCGACTTTATATTAACATTAATACAGCATAATTGCATATTAAGATTTTTGTTTGTTTTTTCTGTATTTTTCTTCATATATATATATATATATATATATATAACAGAACTATAATTTATATTAATATAGTTGATATATCCCGGAAAGGGATATATTTGAACGCAGTAGCTAAGTGGTTTTGGCTACTAAAACCAAGTAGGATACTGTAGCAGTAATCGACTGGTACGCGTCGTAGTCGCAGGTAAGACGTGTAGATCAATGGCGTAGTCCAATAGCCGTCGTTATAGACTTAGCTCTCAGACTAAGGCTTTCTTGTGACTCTCCTATACATCCGTCGATATTTATGACGGACAACAGCCCATCATATTCCAGTGAGGGGGAACACAGGTGTACGGATATTCCATTATATCACTATTTTAATATAGTTTTCTTTTGTACATGTATATATATATATTATTATTTTATATTACATTGTTTTTATATTATTTACTTATTTCTTTTAATTTATTTTCTAATCCCCCCTGTAAATAAAATGGACTGATCAATTATCATTATAATACGTTATATATGACAATATTTAAATTATGCAAGTGTCAGATTTCAGTCAGTATTTTTAACCATATTTATTATTAATATATGTGTGTGTGTGCGTGTATATATATATATATATGTATGTGTGTGTGTGTGTGTAGGCAGTGGTAGATAGATAGATAGATAGATAGATAGATAGATAGATAGATAGATAGATAGATAGATAGATAAAATAGGCAATGATAGATAGATAGATAGATATAGACTATGATAGATAAATAGATATGAATACGCTTAGATAGATAGATAAATAGATAGATAGATAGATAGATATAGACTATGATAGATAAATAGATATGAATACGCTTAGATAGATAGATAGATAGATAGATAATATAGACTATGATAGATAAATAGATATGAATACGCTTAGATAGATAGATAGATAGATAGATAGATAGATAGAGACTATGATAGATAAATAGATATGAATACGCTTAGATAGATAGATAGATAGATAGATAGATAGATAGATAGATAGATAGATAGATAGATAGGAACATACTGTGATACATAGATATTACTCCTTTTAAATAACCATATCATTTTCAAACTGGAGATATTTACAATCACGTACTCACGTAACTATCAATATAACTATAGAGTATATATATATATATCAGTACTTCAGCTTTTTACAGTTTTTGTATTAATACTTTGTGATTGAATTTCAGCTTAAACCTTCGACCCATAAACCTAATCCTGACCCTAACACTGAATGGCCTACGACTTCTGAAAGAAAAATATTTCGTTACCATCCAATAATTTTCCTGTTTTCGAAGAACTCAGCAAATTCACCCAAGGAATATTTGCATTTCCAATTTTCTGGCATTGATCTGTTTCGACAATAAAGCCCAAGTGACAGACACCCCCGGGGTCATATAATATTACCTTATTTTATGGACTGCGGGTTTCATCTTCCGTCAGCGGTCGACCGACAAAGCCTCAGCAGCTCCAACCCCAGGGGTTTCCGCAATATGGCTTTTATTTACTTTTGCCTTGCATGAAATGGCATAGTCAGTCGCTGGTTCAAGATTGAGTGGAAAGGTGTGGCGTTTTGGTGGGGTGAATGAGATATCCGAAAGCCAACGAAAGCAAACGCATATTCTTCCCGCTTGTTCCTTGCTGATTTCTTGAAACTTTTCTTCTACCCGATCTGATCTATGGTCACGTGATGGTGCGAAAAGATGGCGAGGGTTTATCTAAGCTGGAGATGATGCGATGTGTAAAGGAAACATTATTTAGAGAGAAGAAAATATATGCATACCCGGAAGAGAAACGAAGGGAACGACAAAACAAAAACGAAACAAGATATATGTAAAGACAACGATATGAAACCATAAGAAAAATACGAGGATGAAAAAAAAAAAAAAAAAAAAAAACTGCTTGGTGGCTGAAAAGTTAGATTCGGACTTCGGGCTCAGGTAATCGTTGGTGCCTAAGTATTCGGTCATCAAAGTTCAAGGTTTGCCTGAAAATATTCCACTATTTAATATTAAGAAAATAAATAGCCTGCCTAGAGGAATGGGGCTTTATTTGCGTCAAATAACTTACCATGTTAGTTAATGTACTAAACCCAGTTTTATTTTATGCCCCTTTTCAAAATCATCCGTATGTTTTAAAATCATCATCTGCTATTTCGACAAGCTCTCTCTAATTTCATCCAATAATTGAATTATATTCCTTTTCAGCAGCGATTTTGTCTTTGGAAAAGGCTAGATGTTGAGGAAGCCAAATCTGTACTGACCTACGATGGTAAGTTTTGTAAAAATTTTCTATTAATTTATAAGTTGACCTGCACGTACATGAAGAAATTATTCAGTTCCCTTGTATCAGAAATTTTCCATTTCTCTTGGCACTTCGCCTTTTGGAACATCTCAGGCATCAAATACCGACTCTGAGCCCTCACCCCGACCCTTTTAAGTGCAATTGGGGAGGTGCAACCTTAGTAAAGGAAACTCTGTTTCGTTGATTTTCTCTCCAGGTTCAATAAAATAGCCAGATGGTCTTTATAAAGAAATGAGGAATTGTTTTACAAAAGGAACTTGCACAAGACGTAAAAAGCCTGGACAATCGAGACATTCAAATGGATTAGTTGTTTCTAAAAAGTTCCTGTAATTCTTGGACGTTCTTCTAACTTTTACACTGCCAATAAAAAGTAATAATGTTTAAAATACGTTGAAAATTGTCGGTGTTCAGCAGCACTCATTTAACGCAAGGTCCAAGGATAAAAGCTGTCCCTCAAGCGCTTTGTCCTAGTACTAATAGATGTGAAACGATGCCTCGAGGGTAACAGTACAAATAATTGGTACCAGTGATGCATGCGACAGGGCTAATTTCACACATTACCAAAAGAAAAAAAAACAGTACCTCAAGAGCTTTGTCCATGAAGTAACAGAACTGAAACACCGCATTGTGGGGTAACATTAAATACAATTGATACCAAGGAAGAGAGCGGCAGCGTACATTTTACTCAGGGCTCAAGGATAAAGGCTGCCCTCAAGCGCTTTGTGATAGAATTAATAGAACTGAAACGACCCCCACCCCGAGGATAAGAGTATAAAAAAGAGCTACGCGGGATTCGCATAGCAGCGTTTATTTTACGCAGGGCCAAAGGATAAAAGCTGTCCCTCAACTAATAGAACTCAAACGACCTCCACTCCGGGGATAAGAGTATAAAAAAGAGCTACGCGGGATTCGCATAGCAGCGTTTATTTTACGCGGGGCCAAAGGATAAAAGCTGTCCCTCAACTAACAGAACTCAAACGACATCCACCCCGAGGATAAGAGTATAAAAAAGAGCTACGCGAGATTCGCATAGCAGCGTTTATTTTACGCGGGGCCAAAGGATAAAAGCTGTCCCTCAACTAATAGAACTGAAACGATCCCCCGAGGATAAGAGTATAAAAAAGTGCGCAGGATTCGTTTAGCAGCGTTCATTTTACCCAGGGTCAAATGATAATAGCAGTAACTCAAATGATTAGTCCTAGAACTAATAGAAATGAAAGGTCTAACCGAGGGTAACAGTACAAACAAGTGAGACGCGGGGCCCAAGGATAAAAGCTGTCCTCAAGCTAATAGAAATGAAACATTCTCCCGCGTGTCAAAGAACCAAAAAGTGATACTGGGAATGCGTCCGGCAGCGTTCATTTCAAGCTGCATCGCAAGCTTTTTGTCCTGGAACTGGTAGAAATGAAATGAGGTCCCAAGGGTACCAGTACAAAAAGTGCTGAGATACGTCCGCCAGCGTACATTTTACGCGGGCCCATGTATAAATGCTATCCCTCAGTCGCTTTCTGGAAGAAATACTAGAACTTAAATGTCGCCTCGAGGCTAAAAGTGCTAGCAAAAGCTGCGGGTGTTGCGTACGGAAGCGTACGTTTTACGTAGTTACCAAAGATAGAAGCAGCGCCCTAACTCTTTGTCGTAGAATTAAAATAAATGAAACGTCGCCCCCAGGGTAACAGTGCAAGAAAGGGGTACCCCAGATGCAGGCGGAGACATTTATTTTACGTAGACCCTAAGGATAAAAGTTTTCCCTGAAGCGTTTTGTGCTAGAACTGAAATGTCGCTACGTGGGTATATGTATGTTCTCCCCAGGATGTGTATTATTATTATTATTATTATTATTATTATTATTATTATTATTATTAGGTTGGTGAAAAATAATGACGGAAGCATGTCGTTTTTTGAAGTTGAAAAATACGTCCAAAAACGACATTATTACGTCATTATTTTTGCACCAACCTAATATTATTATTGGGAATTTTTGTCATTTTTACTTAAAATGCCTGCTTATTCAACATAAATATATAGATATATACTTGTTTTTCAAGAAAATGCCAAGCGTATGAGGCAAAATGACAAAAAAAAAAAGAAGGGAAGCGAATATCCAAAGGATTTAAGACCGATCGCAAGGCAGTAAGCTGCAAGACGTGAGCGAGGAGAATTCATCGAAGAAGAGATTTAAAATGGAAAGCAATATTCAAAGGAAGAGAATGGCTGCGCGTACCGTACGGTCGGTGAACTATGAAATGGACAAGTGAAAGCAGGAAGTGGGGAAATGGAAGAAGCGGGTGGTGAACAGGGTGGATTGCCACGTTTCGCGGTTGAAGAATGGAAGCTACAAAAAAAAAATGGAAGGATTGGTACCTTTTGCTTCCCGCCTCAGTGCAGCTGAGTAATGGAGGCGAGGAACGGCTTGGCGGCCATCTTCTGGCCAAACGACTACTCGAACAGGTTTCAAACGACATCGCTACAGCGAACCCGAATACTCTGCCCTGGCGTCGGCGTCAGTGATTCGTTTGGCTGTTGTTGGCAAATATGAAAGCTGATGTGTTGAGTGACCGGATAAAAGAAGGACCGAAAATGCAAAAATAGCAGACAGATAGACAGACAGAGTATCTGATTGGCTAGCTAAATCCTTGAGAGGACGTGTGGTTGTATTTCGTTTTGAAAAGCCATTTTTATCTTTCGCCAAGCAAGACTGATAAACAATTTTGATATTCTTTTTTTTTCTTTCTTTCATAGCTTTCATATACATTTTGAATAATCTTGCTTCCTTTGTTTTTTAACAGGCTCGTTTATGTTTTACACTTTTTTGTAAATCGTGTTTTAGGATTCAAACCTTCTTTTATTTGTAATTCTTTTTTCTGTCCTTTCTTGATATTTGTTCGTATATTCCTTGTTTCTTATTACATTTGTCTTCCCCATTTCGCCATCCTTCTTTCATTTTCTTTTTAATATTTCAATTCCTTTCTTTTATTTTAAATCGTTTCATCCCAAGCATGGCAATAAAGCCACTACGACACGAGGAGTTGCTGAATGTGAAAGAATAAGAAAAAGAAAACATTATTAAGGAATGAGAAAAAACAAAGAGGAATCAAGAAGACAGTAGATAACGATTGACACTGCATTTAAATTTTTGAAAATCAAAGTTGGCGGGAAAGCAAGAAGCGAAAATTGCGAGAAAATAAACTGTTAGCAAAGAACACATGGTAACATCTAACCATTTCAACTCTAAAATGACAAGACCTTGTCGCTAATCTAGTACTTTGCTTAAATTCCTAAAGTCAAATTTACCTTAGAGCAAAGTTCAACAGCACAATTGCAATAAAATATTTATAGAAAAGGCACATGAAATATACATTACGCGGCTGAGATGACAAGACCAATAACATTTCAGATTCTACTTTGGATTTTATCTATAATCTCTCGATATATAGCAGGAGTACCAGAGCAGATGTGACAGCAATATTCAAAGCATATATGACTTATAAATATATTAGATAGAATCAGGCAAGAAAAATTGTCTAGCATGACACAATGAAACAAATTTTCTAGCATCAGACCTAGCATTTGATTCAATTTAATCTTTCCAGTTCATCACAGCAGAGAACGTTAGTCCGATTTGGCCCAAAGAGTCACTCTCCTGGGGTAAAGCAGAAAGAGGTCTCTCAGATGAAAGTTTTGTTTTGGAGGCCTTACAGTTAACAAGCCGTTCCTTGCCTCAGTTAACAGCAGATTTTAGTTCTTTTGAGATCAGCCGCGAATCTGACTTTATTGAACCCATTAAATTTATTCCTGCCCCTTTGCATGTCATGTGCATCATAGGTGATGCATAGGACATCTGATTTTTTACGCCCGTGCACCATACGGGGTGCACACGAGCCATGATTTTAGAAGAGTGTTAAAACTAAGGACGCTTAAGAGAAGAGTTTACTGTTGAGAAGGACGTCTGGGGAAAGGCCTAATCAAATATTTTCGGCATCATATATGACCACAGGACGCTTGACTGATAATATAACGTCAAAAAATTAAAGGCATCTCTTTTTCCCTCTTTACTGATATAACTGTAACCTGTGCATCACATCTGATTTCCTTGTCTGTAAATCATACACGGTGGATACGAGCCATGATTTTAGAAGTGTTAAAACTAAGGACGCTTAAGAGAAGAGTCTACTATTGAGAAGGACGTCTGAGGAAAGGCCTAACCAAATATTTTCGGCATCATATATTATCACAGGACACTTGACTGATAATATAACGTCAAAAATTAGACATCTATTTTTCCCTCTTTACTGATATAATTGTAACCTGTGCATCACATCTGATTTCCTCGTCAGTGCATCATACGCGGAGGACACGATCTATGATTTTAAAAGAGTGTTAAATCTAAGGACGCTTAAAAGAAGAGTCCGCTATTGAGAGGAAAGGCCTAACCAAATATGTTGGGAATCATATATGACCACAGGACGCTTGACTGATAATATAACATCAAAAAATTAGACATCTATTTTTCCATCTTTACTGATATAATTGTAACCTGTGTTACTTATATATATATATATATATATATATATATATATATATATATATACAGGAAACCATCGATTAATACACATTCAGTTAGTGCGCTAATTTTTATACAAAAAATTCGATTAGTGCATGCATGGTAAAACAATCTCCAGCTTAATCACAGTAATTGATTTTTTTTATATTTCTCGATTAATTAATTTTTTTCTAAAATTTAGATATTGTAAGTGTGTAATTATTTTGTGTATCGAGGAATTACAGTAGTGTTAAAAATGGACGGTTATAAACAGATCCATTTTACATGAACTGATGTAAAATGCGTATTTAATATTTGTCTCTAATAAAATTTTTCAATATTTTGAATTTTTTTCATGTTTATTTTGAAGGTCTTAAAAGATCTTTTCTGATTTGTTGTTAAAAAAATTTGACGATTTAATTCGATACAGGAATTTACATTTATTAAAAATATTTAATCAAATACAGAAATTTACTTTTAATTAAATATTTTTCCTTTCTTGCTATCGTTTTTTTTTTTTGAATTGAATTGAAACTAAATCAGAAAAGTATTGTTCATTATTTCTGAAGGACAGGAATCCCTCGATTAATCCCTCGATTAATGCATCCATTAAAGTGCATTAAAATCTTTATATATCAAAATTCCATTAATCTAGCCGTTAAAATAAATTAAAATCATTATATACCAGAATTTCCATTAGTGCATCCATTAAAATACATTAAAATTTTTATATACCAAAATTCGATTAGGGCATCCATTAAAATACATTAAAATCATTATATACCAAAATTTCATTAGTGCATACATAATACTAAATTACTGCACTAAAAATTCTTCAGTAAAACCATAGTAATTGAAAATTGATTTTTTATAGTTACTGTTTAATTAAAAAAAATTTCTAAAATTTAAAAATAGAAAATGGGTAACTATTTTGTCAAGTTAAATTATATAAGTAATAGTGTTCATAAACTGGACAGTCATGAATAGATATATTTGATAATATAAGCAAATATTGAATATACATATTTGAATTTTTGTCTGCATTAAAAATTTTTGAATATTTTGATTTTTTCCATGTTTATTTTGAAGGTCTTAAATAGAATTTTTTGATTCTTTATTAAAAAAAAAAACAAAAAAAATACTTGTCGATTTAATTAAATAGAGAAATTTACATTTATTTAAAAAATAACAAAATATAAATGATGTATGTATTTACTATGGAAAGATTAGGAATAAAATTATCATGTAAAAATACAAATTACTGTGACATGTTTAGAAAATTTTAAAAAATAAAATAATATACATAAAAGGGTTTTTTAAAAAAAATAAATTAAATTAAAACTAGTAAACTGGGCTCCAGGGACACCCGATTTCAACCCTTCTGAAAATATATGGAATTTAATGAAAAGAAAATGGAAGGCAAAGTCTTTAAAATATCGATGAATTAAAAAAAAAAGAGATTATAGATATTTGGAATAACATCGATAAAAGTTTAATTTTTGAGCTAATTTTTTCAATGCCAAAAAGAGCAATGGCGGTTTTTGAAAGGAAGACATTGAAGAATGTGAAGAAACCATTCCTACCCGACAGCATAAGATGACAAAGACGGAATTAGTGGAATTTTTTCAGGGTCATTGAGGAATTTAAAGGAAAATGTTTAGAAGCAGACCCTGATGAAAACAGAAGTCGACAAATCTGCAGAAAATTTGAAGGAGCAATTTCTCAGTACCGCCAATTATATGAAGAACAGAAAAATACCGTACGGCAAATGATTGTAAATAAGTTTTTTTTATTAAAAAAATCAGATTAATAGACATTAATTCGTGACATTTTATTGTATATTCTTCTATGTAGCTATATTTTAATTAAAAACTACGCAAATTAGAAATTAATTGTGAATGAAACTAAAATTTGACATACAAATGACGTCATTTTCTATAAGTTATTATATTCGATTAATGTGTTTTCGATTAGAGCGTATCTTTTAATGGACACATTAGCCGCATTAATCAAGAGATTACCGTATATATTATGTACACTACATACGTAATTACACATATGCATACATACACACAAATATGTTTATGTATGCATACTATATATGCACCTTAGATGTTAACTCGCACACACACTCATACTCACACAAATTCACGAGAAAAAAATCACTATTAATAATTCATTCACAAGTTTGCGCACAACGTTGGGAACCACGTGATTAAATAGTAAGACATAGAAGAAAATTATTATTAGCACCAAATTATTCTTGCAATCCCAAAATATATTTCAGCTTTAAATAAACTTAAATCTTTGGTTTTTGTTTCACGGACTTTCAACCCAAATGGGTTATTTAAAGCCGACAAGCTTTTTAGCATGGGTTCGTATGAACAGATGTATTCTTTGTAAGAAATCGGTTCGTAGATCAAGTTTAATTGACGTATTTTTGTAAAGAGTTTTTTTTTTTTTTGTCGGGAGTCAAATGTACAGGTTGCGATGGGTAAATTGTCGCCATTTTATATTTATAATTACGCACATGCGTGATTTTGATTTTGTCGACTGCACAGAAAACCCGGGTCAGTTGGGCACCGTTTGTATGAAAAATAAAAATAAAAACACGCACACACACACAATTGTGCAATTCCCTCCGCCAAAAATTTAGTTGCGTCATGCTGTGCTGGTTGGTATTCCCGCCAGCAGCTACAATACGAACATTTCAGAGTGTTTAAGTGTCAATATGAAGATATTGCAGAAGATCAGAAAAGACTTAGATGTGTCTAATGGTGATTACAAGGATGTTTGGAGTGAGTACTAGTGATGGCGAGGTTATGAGTCCATTCATCTTCCCACGTGGCCTCAGACTCAACACGGAGGCCTACACCATGTGTCTTCAGGGGGTAGTGCTTCCCTGGGTCAAGAGGGTGGCTGCTCGAAGATACTATATCTAGCAACAGGATTCTGCAGCGTGCCACATCAGCAGAGGAACCCAGTCATGGCTGTTAAACAATATCTGCAACTACATCACCCCTTACATCTAACCTCCTAATTCGCCAGACTGCCACATCCTTGATTATTATGTGTGGGGCACAGTTGAGCGAGAGACTAACAAAACTCCATGTAACACGAAAGATGAACTGAAGGCAAGGATTATGGCAGCATACACCAACTTGAGACCGTCTAGAAGAGTTGAAGAAGATTCCGAAGTCGTCTGGAGATCGTGGTTGAAGCCAATGGCAATTATTATCTCTATCTATAAAATTTTCTACTGGCCAAAGTGAGAGCCTATAGCTGGCTGCCACGAATAGGCAGGAAGATTCTATTGGTCAGCGTGAGAGCCAACAGCTGACTGACACGAATGTTGACTAGCATGCTAGCATACAAAAAAAATCGATAGCTGCATTCATCACAAGTGGGAAAAATTTAAATCTGCATGGCACTTTACTCCAATTGGCTCATTCGCTTGCTTAAACTCAACATTGATTCTGATTCCGCAGAACTGGGTTGGGTGTGAAAAAGTATTTGTTGTTAACATTCTTTTTTCATTCGGTTTTTCCAGTTACGAGTCCTTTTTTTAAAGCTGATCGTTTTGTGTTCATTTTGTTTAGTTCTTTTTTAGTAACAGATTTAATGTTTAGTATAGAGCTTAGAAATAAATTCGCAGTGTGAGATAGGCAAGAAGTAAGGCATGTAGCAACATCAGCACAGCAAAGGGCACTCCTTTAACGGCAAGGAAGGGCAAAAATATTTTAAGTCAAGTGATAACGATTGCTGTATGAGTCGTACGATTTTTTAATCAAGCACGCGCAACGCCGGGCCATGCTGCTAGTAGTGAATAAATTTACACTTTAGTGTTTCAAGATATTGTTGTGTAATTTTGGTAAATATATCTGTTAAAATGAGTTGTCAGTGTCATTTTCATTTTAGCGTAATTTATCCATTGAATCGTGTATTACTGGTAATATTTTGTTTTATAAAAAAGCATTGCCATTCAATATTTTTCTTCTAAAAAAGCACTGCGAGTAATACCTTTCTTAAAAAAAAAACCCGTAACAGAACAAATCAAACAACATGGAAAAAAATGTCCGGATTATATTGTTTCGTTATTTTATATGTCTTCCTCTATTTCTGATCCGAGAATTTTTATTATTTACACTATTTACATTGTTTGGACTGCTGCCCTCATCTTTGTTGTTATATTCACGACGTTTCGGCTGTTGTACGCTTCGGCCTTCTTCAGGAATTTCGAACTGGACACTTTATTTTGCACACCCTTTTAGATCGATCTAGTTCCACGTTCTACGCCTCTAGGTCCAGTGGATAAACGCGCTGTTTGAATCCAGTGAACTGACACAAAGAGTTGTGAGTTCAATGCCTGTCTGCAGCTGAGGTGAACAAAAACTTAGATAGTTGGGTTAAAGGGAAATAACTGATAGTATTTCTCTTTTCTTGATTTTTTTCATCGAATTTCATTTTTTTTATCTTTCCTATTTTATTCCGAATTTCATTTATTTTAGTTTTTACCCTATTAATTCAATGAAGTCTTCAATTTTTTTCTTCTGCGTTTTTCATTAAAAATACTTTTTTCTTCGATCGATCCTCCTTTTCTCTCGATACTTTCTTTTTCTTTATTCCTTCTCGTATAATCCTTCATTTTCCTTCATTTTCTTTCATTTTCTTTCATTTCTCCATTTTGCATTTTTTTAAAATATTTTCTATTTAAAAATTCCTGGCACTTCTTCTATGGACATTTCTTCTTTTTTTCTTCTTCCTTTCATTTTTGTTTACCATTTATTATTTTTATACTACGTTGTCCAATCGTTTTTCCTTCGTTCTTTTCACTCTTTCATTCGAACTCTTTCTTTTCTATTACCTCGTTTTCATCATTTTCATTCCGTTTACACTCTGCCTACAGTCCTTGCTTGCCAGCTTCTTTCCATCTTTTTCTTCCTTCCTTCCTTTTTTCTTACTTTTTCATTCCCTCTTTCTTTCTTTCTTTTGTTGTTTTTCTTTCTTCTTTCTCTTCACTATTGTTTCCTCCCTTCTTAACTCACTTCTTCTTCACTCTTTTCCTCCATTCTTTCATTCGTTTCTTCTTTTCTTCTTTTTTTTCTTACCATCTTTCCTTCCATTCTCCTTGATTGTGTTCTTTCCTTTCTTTATTTCTTTAGTTCTTTCGCTTTATTTATTTCTAATTTTCTTGGGCACCTCACCGTGGTTAGAAAGCTTGTCTTGCTAGATCAATTACGACTGAGTAGTGAGTTTGATCCTCAATGTGTGCCCCATACGTTCGGCCTTGTGCCACATCTAAGCCGGGCTTAGAAAATCACTATTTCTTATTTTCTTTCTTTCTTTGTCATTCATTTCAACGTTAATTTTCCCATCATTCTTTATTTATTTCCTTCCTTCCTTCCTTCATTCTATCTTGTTTTCCCTTTTATTTCCTTTCATTTCACATTCTTTCCTTCCTTCTTTTCATTTGTCAGTCTTTCCTTTACTTCTTATTTCCTTACTTCCTTCTCTTCTTCCAGTATTCATTTCCTTCCTTCCTTCCTTCCTTCCTTCCTTCCTTCCTTCCTTCCTTCCTTCCTTCCTTGTTTTCTTCCTTCCTTGTTTTCTTGCCGCCTTTTCTCTTTCCGTTACATTTCTCCTCTATTTTCTTTACATTTTTTTTTCACCTTACTTTTTTTTCCTCATTTCGTATATGCATATTATTCCTCACCCTTCATCCCGTCGCTACACTTTCACATCTGTGCCACGACCGACGACATATAGATATGCAAGATGGCGACTGGAGACGCATCCTGTGTGCTGTGAATGTTATGTCAAGGGGAGATAATCAGAGAAGACAAGACAACAAGAAAATGAACGATTCGAGAATGAATGATTTCATGAATATAAGCGAATTAGATTCGCGAAGCTATTGAATCATGAGAGATGGAACGAAACGACATCAATGCAGGCGCACAAAAATCTCTAATATACAATCCCTTCCAATAAAGGTTCAACACCCACGGACATTGTAAACAAATGTGATTCTTTGAATGGTAGATATCAGGCAATTCTCATTTATGTTTGAATAAAAGCCAAATCACGTAACATGATGTATATATATATATATATATATATATATATATATATATATATATATATATATATATATATATATATGTATGTATGTGTGTGTGTGCGCGTGTGTGTGTGTTTCTGTGTGCATATATGTGTGTATGTTGTATATATAAAGGGTGTTTCATTGAGACGGATCAAAGTCAGTAGTAAATAAATCAGTGTTATTGGTGAAAATTTATTCATTTCTCTATTGGATCATGTTATTGGAGCACTTTTTATATATATATATATATATATATATATATGGTTGGATTGATGTGAGTTTGTGACCTGGGTTTCACGCTTTTGTGATCGTCAGAAAAACTGACTTCGCAAAAGCGTGAAACCCAGGTCACAAACTTACATCAATCCAACAAATATGTTAGCTCTATCTCTGATATTGAGCGCTTTCTAATAAGTACCGCGTATATAATATATAAATAATAATATATATAATATATCATATATATATATATATATATATATATATATATATATATATATATTTATGTTTATATTTATGTTTCACACACACACACACACACACACACACACACACATATATATATATATATATATATATATATATGTGTGTGTCTCTGTATATATATATATATATATGAGTGTTTGTGCATATATATATATATATATATATGTGTGTGTGTGTGTGTGTGTGTGTGTGTGTGTGTGTATGAGTGTATGTGTTTATATGTGTGAGTGTATATAAATATGTGTGTTTTGGTATGATATTATTATAGGAGAAAATTTTCCATTATCGCGGAGATTTTTGGCAAATATTGATATTGTGTGTAAATGGTCTGTTGATAGTTTAATGCATGAAACAGGCAGTCACCAATTAAAATTGATTTCAGTGTTCACAGTGTTTCTATTTATCTCAGTTTCATCATATATTTATTTAATCTCTCAGTAATGGATAGAGACACAGTTTTTGCCTTACCAGTTGCAACACCTGATGATGACCTCAGAAAGAGATGGAAAGTACTTTGGAAATAAAAGTGATTCTCACTGTTTCCGTGCATTTCTTGCCTCATTCAATTGCAATATACAGAAAAATATTCGTGAATATGAAAGGATTATGATAAAAATAAGCGGACATAATGTTTGTACTTTATTCAATCAGATATACCTGAAACAGTATTTGCTGCCAAAATACACAAATAGCTAGCTAGCTAGATAGATAGATAGATGATCAGACTGAGATAGACAGATAGATTAAATAAATATATGATCAGACATAGATAGATAGATAGATATGTGCAAACTGAAACAGATAGATAGATAGATAGACAGACAGACAGATAAATAAAAACAGAGTGACATAGATAGCTAGAGAAAAAATGGACAACGTTGTTCCCCTTTACACATGTAAAATTCAACAGTGTGCAATATATTAACTTCTCGCTGAAAAAACTCCTCAAATAGTGTTATCCACATATGTACTATAGTATATATTATTTCTATTTTTATTTCATTTATTTATTTTCCCCACAGTAAATGCAGATAGGTTAACTTATCGTCCACTGAACATTCCTTCACGATATTTTAAAGAGGAGTAGAGCTTTATCCCTTGTTTTCTGCTTAGGATCCTTCCAAATTCTACTTCAACTCTATACTTCGCCACTTGAAATGTATGCTATTATTGGGTTTCCGATTCCTTCAAAAATATTTTCATTCTCTTTCATTTCTAGCGTTTTAGTGGCATGGTGGCCTTGTTTGTGGGGAATTACTTGAAAAATACCTGCTTCCGTCAGTACGAGCAAGTAGATCTTGCTCGAAAAAAGAACAAAAACAAATATATTTGCCATTGTTGGCCCTAAAGGAATACCCATCGCTATCACATCTACATGACCTTACTAATGTTACATTCCACGGACAGCGCTGAATGGATAATTCTGCATATAGTTGGCGAATGTAAATGTGTCTTTAATATATACTCGTATAAAATTCCAGCATATGCTTGATGAAATGCAAAGGCCCTTGGTGAAATACAAGAAGCTGCAATGCTAGTGGTCCTGATCTGGCATCTCGACTTCAGTCACTCACACAACCGTCGTAACGTAGCTTCCCTGTACTTTTTTTATGTAAATATTTTAACTGTAGATGTTCTGATGAGCTTTCCTCATTGGTAGCTAGACTTTACAAATTTAAGCACATTACTAGATTGGTGGCTTGTTCTCAATCATTTTACAATTTAAACGGTTAGATACAAGCGTAAGTTCTATGCTAACAGTTTCTTCTCTCGCACTTCCTGCTTGTAGAACTCTTTTTCGGCTTGTTACGCCTCAGTCAATTTTGACCTTTAAAAAATTTAAAAGCAATCTCAGACGATAGATTCCGTTCCTTTTATTTCGTTTCTCTTATTGTTTTCCCTGCTTAATCATCGTCGGCACCTCCTCGCATCCTATCATCAGGGTCTTCATCCCCTCTCCCTATTGCTTTTTCTCCCAAACCCGCTCATAGAGGAGGTGGCTGTGAAGCAAAGCGAGTTTTACGAGGCCATTCGCGCGAATTTTATTTTGGTGGACAACTCTTCGCAAAGAAGAAGCCCACACAATTGGCCAGAAGTGCCTCCATTAAAAAAAAAGAGATTGAGACAGAGTAGAACTGGCAAACCTGGTTGCATCGACTTCTTATTAAGATTCGCCTTTTTCTCATATTCTTTCACACTCAATAACGGCCTTTGCGTCTTAGTGGCTTTATTGCGTTACTGTTAAAACGATTCTTAATAATAATAATAATAAAAAGACAGCTAATATACGGTAGAATTCAGCTCATTTTAATAAAAAAATACTGGAATTCTTTTTTGCGCAAAATGTATACAGGCTTGTATATATGAAGATGTATATTTCAATGTGTCTATTCTTGCATAAATATGCATATTTATAAACGTGTGAATGCGTGTATCTGTGTATGATATATATATATATATATATATATATATATATATATATATATATATATGTACGCGTGTACGTGTATGTGCATATGTGTCGGTTGGCATATAATCTTGTGCGTATGTTTACTACTTTCTTTTTCAGAAGACTCCAAACAATGTCTGGCTGTTGGCATTTCGTGAGGCCCCGAGTCATGTCTTTCAAGAAACGTATTGCTTTGTTGAAAAAAAAAAGACCTAGAAAGAAGAAAGCAAAATGAAATAGGGAAGCAAACAGAGAAATCATACATCATAAACAAATAAAAAACAAGTCAATGAGATTTAAAAGAAAAATGAATTAAAAACACAAGCAAAACAAATTGGTTTAAATCTGAATTAAAAGACAAAAGAACGAAATATTTATTGTTCGTAAAACATGCGAATTCCAACATTTTGCGAATATCTCATCACCTGTTCATAGTGGAAGAAAGAGGTTATAGATGAGGAAGGCGGAGTGCAACGTCCCCCAGGCGGCGTACTGCTGGGGCGTGGATGGGTTGGGTGTGGTCAGCGAAAGAGGAACGGGATGGAAAAGATGAAGGAGAAATAGCGACAAAAGTCACCTTACGGCTTGAGAATATTTCGATTATAATACTAATAATAATGACGAGGATTCAGTCAAGAATCAGGAACAATGATGATGAAGCTGGAATAAAGATGGAGACGGAACAGCTCTTAAAAATAAATGGATGGTTGGCTGAAAAGGGGGGGGAGCACAATAAAGGATCAAACGGAGATTAAAAAGGTAAAAAAAAAATCATTAAAGCTCGATTCTTCTTTTCTTCTTTTTGTTGTTTTCCCTTGTCTCTCTTTCCCTCCATTCGACCTGTGAGTATCAGACTCTCCAATCCATCCTTTCTCATTTTTCCGCTGCCTCTTCCTGATGCTAAGTATAAGCCTCCTCCTTGTTTGAAGACCTCATCGTTGCTCACACGCTCAGTCCATGATATCCTTAGCATCCTTGAACCACATCTCTGTCGCCTCGAGCCTCTTCTTCATCTTTGAGGAAACTGTCCAACATTCGCTGTCGTAAAAAAATGACAGATGCCACGTAACAGCTCACTATTCTTTTCTTTGTTACCAAAAAATCCTCCTGTCTTGCAATACTCTGCCCAGCTTTTGGAATGTGTTCTTGGCCATCCCAACACGTCTACGGATCTCAGTGTCACACTTACCGTTCTCTGTCAAGACGCTTCTCAGATATTTAACTTCCGCGTCTGCTTGATTCTAGTGTTCCCGACCTGCAAATAGCATTTCGGTCTCATCCTCATACTGATGACCATGCATTCTGTCTTTTGTAGTTTATGCTTAGTCCTTTCTTTTCACTCTCTGTCGTTACCTTCTCTAAGGAAGTTTGTCATTTCTTTTCCGTGTCTGCTATCAGTACTGGCTTATCTGCATATCTTATGTTAATATTATGACCGCCAATGCTAAAACCCGGTAGGATCTCCAATTCTCTCAGAATTGTCTCGCTGTATAGCTTGAACCGGTCCGGTGAGAAGACGTATCCTTGTCTTACGCCCCTTTTTATTTTTGTATATTCACTGAACTCGTTCCCTATGCGCATTATAGGTTCTTGATTATGCTGATATCTTTCCCGAATATATCAAGGCTTCTGAGCAGTTCCATCAGATCCTTGTGGCGTATTTTTTCGAAGGCCTTTTCGTATTCTATGAAACATATGTACTCGTCCTTCTGCATCTGTATTGCTCTT